AAAATGAAAATGTTCATCAGACTCCGACTGATCTCCTGAAGAACATAACTGATGGAGACAAGCTGACCTGTAAACACAAAGTCAAGAGCTACGACACTATTGTGTGGTATCATCGCCCAGCAGGAGACACCTCTCTGAAGCTAGTTGGTTTTACAAGTTATAAGGAAATTCAGACTGTGGAGAAACCCTATGAGGGCTTATTCAGCGTGAGTGGAAATGGAGAGGTTGAAGCATTCCTGCACTTGGGCAAACTCAGGCACCCTGAAAACAGCGGGCATTATTTCTGTGCAGTTTCTAGTCCCACCACAGCAGAAAAGCCTGAAATTCCTCTACAAAAACCTTCATCTGACCCTGAACACCTGCAGCAAACCACATGCCCACAAACCTTTGCAGACAGTGGGAGGAGCTGCGCTGGAGAAGTTGACAGAAAGATACAGCGAATTCTAGTCATTTTCAAACGGTTGAGTTCAGCTGGGATTCGAGCTGGTTTATCACATTCAACATGAACTGGTCTCATCTCTTCATACACATCATCATCTGCATTAAAGGTATTCATAGAGACTCTCTGTCCTTTAGAATTTTGACTTTGAGGTGGTTTCCATGTTTTCTATTTGTATAAAAACTATAAAACTTTGTAATTTGGGCATTCATAATTGCATTCAATTACTGGTTTTATTAGTGTTCAATAAGTATTTTACCAATGATCAGACTTTTAGTTTAAACCCTGAAGTCTGAATCCTCAGTTGTAACAATAGCTCGCTGTGCTTTCCCCAGTGTCTTTGCATTCAGGTAACAAAAATCATTGTGACTGAAATATATCAAAAACAGTTTGTGTTATTTATGTAGAGAGTTCTTCTACTTGTTGTCCAATAGATAGTTTAGAGGTTCGACTTGAGATTATTTCCTGTCGGTCTTATTTCCTACTACTCTACACTCTTTTGTATACTGCCAACACTTTATTCACTGTTAGTCACTTATAGTTTTTTATTCACTTATTCAGTCACTGTCATTTAAAAACTGTGTACATACTGTATCTTTTAAGTATTTTTTTATCTCACTCTTATTGTCTGTTTATGCCCTGTCCTCATTTTTAACGTCATGCTGCTCTGTTGTATCTTAATTGCCCCTTGGGAATAAATAAAGTCTCTGATTCTGTCATCAATGAGGACCACAGAGGGTTAATCTTTTATTGGAAAATTAAGTGCTGCAAAGCATCTGAACTAGTTATTTCCAATTATTTTACCCTTCCATGGTCAGCCTTCAGCAGAGACATGTTCTAGATGCAGCCACATTAGGGTGATTAGTTCTGATTTTCAGTATTTCCCTCCCTCTGAGTCCGTCTACAAGACAGCAAGACACGGGACAATACAGACCAGGTTCTAAAAGATTAGGAATTAAAGTTGCTAATAGCTGTTATTTTAAATAGGGAGTCCAGGAGAATGTACGCACAAGCACAGGTCATTTAAAGAGGTTAAGAGAGAGAGTTAGGGATAGGGTTTATAAACTCTCTGATGTCTAATCGTATTATTAATTATCAATTAGCCAATAAACCCTCTTTTAATTCTTCATATTCTCAGATTGAACTGCATTTTGTGTACTTTTTATTCTAATCCTATAATTAGCAGTTGTCTCAATGAGCATAGAATCCTTCAAAAGAAATGCCATCAATTTATAACCTGTCAACTTTTCTTTGTTTCTCTACAGGAGTGTCCCTCGATAAAGAAATAAAGGTTCTTCAAACTCCAGAGCAGCTCCTGAAGCCGCCGAATGAGGAAGTCAGGCTGACCTGCAAACATAAAAACCAAAACTTTAACACTATTTTGTGGTATCAGCGCTCCAAAGGAGACACTGCTCTGAAGCTGATTGGCTTCATGTATTATCAGTCTCCAACTATTGAACCATCATTTGTAGGTCAGTTCAACATTAGTGGAAATGGAGAGAGTGCAGTGGAACTTCACATCTTGAGACCGAGACACCCTGAACACAGCGCAGAGTACTTTAGTGCCGCAAGATAGCACAGTAATGAATGCAGCTCCTCTCTCTTACAAAAACTGCATATGCTAACAGATGGTAAACCACTGGTATCATGTGATGAGGTTGGGAAGCACTGAGATGAGAAGCTTTTTTCCTTCAACGATGCTTCAGTTTATCCTCCATAACAGTACAGACTGATAAACAATATAATTAAAGCGATACCCCACAAGCCTTTTACAGCTGAGGGGTAATGATGATGTGGTTCAAGCTTCTGGTAGTCAATAAAAGGTAACGGTTTTTAAGCATTCAACATTCTTTGTAGTTTTTAATGTTACTTATAGACTAATTGGTCTATATTATAATTTCCATGCTTATTTGGGAAACTGTAAAGGTGAAAATAAAATCTATTAAAAAATGATTATGTGTGTGCTTATGTACTATATTAACATAACTATGGCAAGTCATGTCATCCTCCAGCAATTTTATTCTGTGTGAATTCAAAGTTTACAGTAAAAGAAGTGAATGAGTGTTCCTAAATCAGTCCAACCAGCAATTCAGTGTGAGTTTAACAGCTCCTGTGGTCAGGCACAGAAAAGGAAGCTCATTCTTTCTGCAGGTCCAGTGTATGTAATGTGTTACTGAAACCGTCCACGTCACAACTTCTGATGATAAGAAGAACAGGCCAGACACACTCTGGTGGTTGAGCCTTTTCACTGATAGGCTTTAGCCTCTGTGGAATGTTTAGTCCAAGTACACGACTCCTGGATCTCGACTCAGGACAGTTATATTTCTCTGTTAACTCGAATGTTTTTGGTTCACACCTACACCACACAATGAAGAAAAGATTGATCTAATTAGTGCTATTCCTGAGGGTTGTTTGGGTTTCTTTTTAGGATGTTGCAAGCCAGTTCAGATGGGTACCATGGTTATGCATTCAACCCCATCAATTTGGTGCTATATATAAAACATATGTTAAACTAAGGTCTTCCT